AACATGTGACACTCCCGCTTCAAGTTGCCGACATGTTCGCATCGACTCCAAGGGATTGAGCACGGTCTAGTGGTGTCGGCGCAACTTTTCCCCCAGTTGTTTACAAAAAAATTCTCGAAATGGTGCATTCCGATGATTTTAATTAAGGCCACAATCGGTCCTGTGGAACGGTGACGTATTCCATTTCGAATGTTTATTTTTGAATCTGCTGCCCTCTCTTACACAGCTCAACTGTCATAAACAGTTTTGGTAGTTGTAAAGAAGCACTTGTATCAGGCTGAGTTTTCGAACTCGTACGGAAGGCCATCCTCAGAGAGTACAGCAAGAATTGACGCGTTTTGTAGTCCAACTACAAGAAAATGGACAGGGGGAGGGATAATATTCGCGATCGCTACCCACACTCTAGAGGAAGGCCACGAATTCAGCTTCAAGGGCTCGCGGATAATGGTACGGGCCAGTAATAAGACAGGGCGTGAACTACTGGAGGCCTAAGTATCAGACTCCAACTCCATCATCAGACACCTTGATATACCGCCGTGTTACATGCCCTCCGTTCGCGCGGCCCAGTTCCTATCCAAGAACGCACGCCGAGACGACGTGGGTGTGGACTCGACCAATCACGAATGCTATCTCTTCCCCTACCCACCCCCCATTTTCTCGTAGCTGGACCACAAAGCACGCCAATTCTTGCTGTACTCTTATTGTCTCTGAAGATGGCCTCCTGTACGAGTCCGAAAACTCAGACTAATACAAGTACTGTCCCAGTGATCGCGCATTTATCTTAGTTGTGACAAGAACCCAGAGGTCGCATATTCGCTTCCAATCGTGAGTTTCGATAGTTGTGAAACCTTGGCTGAAGACAAAATGAAACAGATTTCGAAAATACTTGTTTTTTTTTTCTCAAATTAAAGCTTTATTATTATTTAAGCCTCGCGGTAATAAATATTTAACTCAGTGGGAAAACAATGGGAGTGGTCTACTAGAGCAGAAAAAAATGCCTGCAAAGAATGCGTTGAACCCGCTTCAGTAAGTACGATTGGTGAAAAAAGCGCTGAAACCGAAGCACATATTTTTTAGGCATAGCGATGATCGTTGTCCTTCGACTGCCGTTTTCATTTCAATGAACGTTCCTCACTTCTGGTTGTCATAAGAAGTAGGCTACATATGTCACGAAGTCTAACAGTTTAGGGAACTAAAAGAGCCAAATTTTCTACGCGAAAACGTTGCCTACCTTGAAACATTATTGGTAACCTTATAGGCACTACATTTATGAATAGAGACCTTTACCCTTTCCCCTCCTATTTGGGCGGTTAAGGTTTTCCAGGAATCCAGGGCGATTATTCCACATGGGCAGGTACGATCACTGTAGCAGAAGCCGATCGTTAGAAGGCCTAGTTTGTTTTCGGACATTGACTTTTGTAGATAGTT